CACACACACACACACACACACACACACACACACACACACACACACACACACACACACACACACACACACACACACACACACACACACACACACACACACACACACACACACACACACACACACACACGCAAACACACACACACACACGCAAACACACACTCCGACACACACACGCACACACACACACACACACGCCGACACATCGCCGACTGACACGCTGGCACACACGCCGACACACACGCCGACACACACACACACACACAAACAACCGACACACACACACACGAAAACACATACACACACCAACACACACCAACACGCACCACCCGTTGCACCGCCATCCGCATATTTCACCAGGTAGGAAGATTATTGCGGCGGAATGACCAGCAGGACAGAGATTCGCGGCTCACATCCTGGCGCGAGCGCCCCCCACGCAAAACACCTCGGACTGGGCCTGGCCGGTGCGAGGGCGTGGGGGGAACAAAACCCAGGACGGCCCGGCCCCCAGCCTGCTTGCAAGTTTCGTCTGCCTTGTTACGCCCCAGGCCAGACGACCGCGCGCCGCAAGCCTAGGGCCGCCGCGTCGCGAAACTGCCGGGAATAGAAACAGGAAAAACTATGGGGGATTTTTCCTCAAAACAAGGGCGCTGAAGGAGGAGCTGCTGGCCTCCGGGCCCAGACCCATTCCAAAACAAAACTGACACGTTTGACTTCCAGGCCTGGCGGGCTGCAGCACAGAAGACGTTCCCAGCCGCAAGCTCAGCAAGCAGTGGAAGACTTTTGCAGCCTTGCCTTTGCGCGAGAGGCGCTTGGCACTGGCTCCCGCCGAGGTGTACCTCTTTGCGAACAGGGGCGAGGAGCTGCCGGAGCGCCAGGCAATAGAGGAGGGGGCCGCAACCTTCTCGGCAGAAGAAGCAAAAGGCAGCGTGGATGAGGTGCTCTCTGACGTTGACTGGAGCGACGCAGAGCCAGCAGCGGCAGATTTGGGGCCTCTGGCCAAAGAGGTGGCGTGCTTTTGAGAGAGGCCAACCCGGCAGAGCGCGTGGCGCACTGCTGTGAATCGCTCAAAATCCTACCGGCTGAGCAGGGAATTGCAGAGGCCCATTTTCTGCGCTCAGTTTGGTGCAGGGAAGAAGCCGGCTTCCCTCAGACCCCTACGGCAGGCTAGCGCCACCAGCCATGCTCCTGAACTGTGGGCGCTGGGCGGGAAAGAAAACGGGGCAGTTTACTTTTGCGGGCGCGGCCTTGGTGACAGCCCATAGCACGATGGCTTTTACGGAGTGCGAAGGATGTCGGACAGTTTCACAGCCGGCTCCCACTCCTGCTGTCGCCATGACTGACGCACCAACGCACCAAGGCATCAACACACTACCACGCCAACACACCAACAGACCAACCCACCAACACACCACCAACAGACTAACGCACCAACGCACCAACGCACCAACGCACCAACGCACCAGCGCACCAACGCACCAACGCACCAACACACCAACACACTGACGCACGAACTCACCAACGCACCAACGCACCAACGAACCAACGCAGCAACACACCAACACACCAACACGCCAACACACCAACGCACAAACACACGCGCACCAACACAAAGACAAATAGAACGGGCAACGCTTGTTTCCCGCCGACCCTGTTTTTTTTTGCAATTTGTGCCTCCGTGGCGCAGCGTACCACTTCCACTTGCAGTTATTCGAAACGCGCACGGTGTTAGCATGATTCTCGCACCTGTCGTACCAATCATGTTGGCTAATAGTGAGGCCGCACCGCCAAAAATGCTGTGCTTGTGACGACGTGAGATAAATGGGTTTCTGTCTTGCCAACCGGCTTCGAAACACGAAACGGCAGCTTTGGAATGCGGCCGCAAACCCCAAAGCTCAGAAGGCAGCCCGCCGGTGCGGCGAAAAGCGACCGAAAAGGGACCGAGATGAAGTTCGGAGGGCGCCCCGACGGCAGCTTCGAACCTTACTAAGAGCAGCAAGGCCCAAAGCTCGGAAGCTGGCAGCCCCCAATGACAGCTCACTAAGAGAGTCGGCAGCAAGCCCCAAACCTCGGAAGTTGCCAGCGCCAAAGCACGGTGGCGCGGTGCGAAAAGCCCACCGAAAAAGGCTCGGCAGCCCCAAATCTCGGAAGTTGGAAGCCAGGGCACGGCAGCCCCCGCTACACTTACGTCCGGTGGCACGGCGTGGAAAAAGTGACCGAAAAAGGGCCGAAACATGAAGCTTGAGGGCAAGCCCCCAAGCTCGGAAGTTGCCAGCAGCTGGCAGCAACCAGGCAACGGGCGGTCAGATCACGGGCGCGGCCAGTCCATGGCAGCCCGCCTCCCACTACACCGAGCGCTCTCTTAGCAGGTCGGCGGGCACATGCGCACGAACACACACACACACACATGCGCCCCCTCAGGCACACAAACACACAAACACACAAACGCGCAAACGCACAAGCGCACAAACACAAACACACACACACACAAGCGCAAACACACAAGAGCACATGCGCAGAAACACACACACACAAGCGCACAAACACAAATGCGCAAACAAGCACACACACACAAACACACAAACATACAAGCGTAGATGCGCAAGCATGCGCGCACACAGGCAAACACAAACGCGCAAACGCACACACACGCAAATACACAAAAGCGCACGCGTATACCGAGACACACGCGCGACAGGATACAACGCAACACCGCGCAAACACACGCAAACACAAAAACAAGCACACGCACAAACACCCGCACAAACGCAAACACAAACGCACAACCGCACAAGCGCGCAAACACACACGCACACAAACACACATGAAGACACACGCGCGCACACACAGAGACATGCAAACACAAACGCCACAAACAGGCAAACGCACAAATGCACAAAGAAACACACACACACAAGCACAAGCGCACAAACACACACAAACAAGAAGACCAGCGCACTCAAACACACAAACAGACAAGCACAATCACTGAAACACGCAAACACGGAAGCGCGCAAACACACGCAAACACAAGCGAACACGCGCACCAACACACACACACACGCAAACGCTCAAAGACACGAACACGCAAAAACGCACACAAACAAAGCACAAACACACACACGCACAGACACAAAGACACACACACACACGCACACACAAACACAAACACCCAAACGCACAAAGACGCACAAGCACAAACAAGCACACACACACAAAGAGACACGCGCGCACAAACACAGAAGACCACAGGCAATTACGCACCATCACGCACATACACACACACACCACACAAACACACAAGCGCAAAGACAACCGCCCAAAGGCCAAAGCGCAACACATAAATCACAAAGTGCAGCACACAGCGCAACACACAGCACAAAGCAGTCACTGTTCTTACGGGATGTGTCCGTGTCTCACAAAACTGGTCGATTGTGACAACCAATGTGAACTGAAGTGACCGCTTGAAGCTGCGGTAAGCGCCTGAACATGTGTTATCCCTGACGTCAACACGCAAGACAAACATCACAACACACAACACAAAACATAAAACGCACAACACAGAGAGGAAAACAACAACAACAACAAACAAAACGACACACAAAGCACAAACACCACAGCACAAAACACAAACACACACACACAACACGAAGCGCACGACACGCAACACACAAAGCGCAACACACACCACGCAGCACAGAGCACACAACACACGCAACAAACAGACATTTCGCAACGTAGAACACCCAATACTGAACACCCAACACAGCACAGCGCTACACAACACATACACACAAACACACAAACGCGCGCAGCACAACAAACGCCACATACGCGCAACATGCACACAATGCACACAACTCCGAAAACCACTCATGCACGCCCGTGCGCACACACACACACACCACATCCACACACACGCACACGCACACAAACACACACACACACAACCACACAAACGCACGAGCGCACGCACATACACGCACCAACAATGTGACAGGCACACAAACACACAAACACACACACACGCACACACCCACAACCACACACACACACACACACGTGCACCAGAATCGGCGTATGCAAGGGACCATATGAGTTTGTATTGATACTGAGACCCCTTGGGCCGGTTGGCGTTTTTTTGTTTGAAAAGAAAAGCTTGCAGCTTATCGCTTGAATTGGTGGAACTCCTCGACCCTTCCGAGGAAGGATTACTGCTGCAACCACTTTGGCAAAGCTTGCGAGAAGTGATGCTGCGCCTGGAAGAGAAGTCCGAGCACTGCTGAGTGAAGCACTGCGTCAAAACGCAGACATAGCTAGGTGCAAGGGCAAGTGTCAATCTTTGCTTGTTTGACCTGCGTTGCAAATGGACTTAGTTGTTTCTGCTGACATGTATGCGTTCAGTACACACTTCAAGATTTTGCACCATGGTTGCCTGACAATGTGAAAGCCGATGGTGGACGTTTGCTACATCACTGACAGATGTTGGCAGATGCCCAAAGGCGGCTGCCCAAAGTTCACTCCAGATGCTGACCTTGCAACAGGCGTTTGCGACCTGTCGCTTATTTAAGTGCCAAACTTGGACCAAAATGCGATGGATCCGAAAAACCATGATTTGCTTAGTTTTGGACTGGCCCATTGTTATGTGCTCATCTGCTTGTGTTGCAGAATGAATCAATCCTTGTCAGAACTCCAGCAGTCTTTCGGAGGTCATGAGTGAAAGAAGCAAGCAGGAATTGAATGCCTTGTTGCTTCAAAGACTTGCGAGCTTCTGCAATCGGAGGACCTTTGTCATTTGAGATTGTGCGAGAATTACATCGGCAACGCAGCGATACGCACTTTCCTTTTTGTTCTTGCAGAAATTCATTTTATATACTTTGAGAAAACTATCAAAACCAATTCGCCGTGGGAGAACGTATGGAGGCTCCCCGTCTGCTCGCAGACCTGTTGTTCCTTCTCTCTCTCTCTCTCTTCACATGCTCGGCTTCTCGGATTTCTCTCTCGGTCCACAGCAGTGACCAACAATGAATGCTATTGGGGTGGACGTGGATCCTCTTGTGTGACATGAGGAAAGCATTTGTTGCTTTGGAAGTACAACGAATGCACTTGATTCAACAACGCATACACACACACACACATGCTGCGTTTTAGTCTGACCTTTCTAGCTGAGACCAGATAGGCTGAATTTGGCGCCTGCTGCCCGATCATTCGTCTCCGGCCCATATTTTCCTCGGCTTGCAGGCTGGCAGCGCTATTTCTGTAGTGGCATGCATGCCATAGGTTTTGCCCGGTCGCACACGCGTTGAACGCAGCTGAACTGGTATCTTTGATTGGGATGGGGTTGTCCAAGTGAGGGGAAATTCATGCTTTGGCTTGACCAACCATCCGATGTGGAACATGCAAGAGGTTGTTCGTCGGACTACCCACTTCTTGGGCATCTCGACCGACGGTTTTCCCAGCCCTTGCGAGCGCGCTTAGTGTGCACGCAGAGGGGCGCAGCTAGCCCAGATTCAGCTTGAGGTTACAAAATGGTGGTGCATCCATGAGGGGTCAGCTTCATTGTGGCATTGCCTGCCATCTTCGTCCCCCAGACTTGCCACCTAAGACGAGATAAATCTGTGTGAAAGATAAGCCATAGCAGTGCTTGAAGAAGTGGTTTTCCCAGCTCCCAGACCCTAACGAAGTCCCCGTATCACCAAGCTTGATGCCTTGATCCAGGGGCTGCACGCAAGCATTGGGCGTTGCCTTTCGAACCGTTTGTTCGGATTTGCTTTTCCACTCTCTTTCGCATTGCATTTTACTACTTATAGCAATGTTTCTTAGCATATTCAATGTTCTACAAAAATGATCCTCTCTTTGCCAGATTATCTTCCTTCCCAGAATTGCCTGTAGCCTCCCGTTTGTCTTTCCATCTCGAATCATGGAAATAAACGTAGGTCGCTCAGCAGACCTGCTTCTTCTGGATTCTTTTGTTTTTGTTCTGGCAAAGCCCTGCTTTCTTATAACAAAGACTTTCTGGCCAGCGAGATCAAGCTGGATTCACAAGGCCTAAGGCAATCTGGAGGCGACTGACCAGTGGCTCGAGGCCCAAACCAAACCTCAAGTGGCAAGTGTGCACCAGGGAAGTTCACGCAGTTCATGCAGAGCAGGCACCCCTGTTCTCCAAAAGCCAAGCTCCGCGTTTAAGCGCTACGCGGCGTGCCTGGAGAACGCCATTATGCACGTGCTGGAGGAGGCTTGCAAGGGGACTGCCTATCACGCGCCCTGTTGTCTGGTGCTGTTTTTGTTATGTGCAGTATAGCCAGTCTAGCAGGTCATTTCCTCTTTTGTATTTGGTAGACTCAGCGCCCAGACATTTCCCATGTCTGGTTGTGTCTCCTTTCTTATTCTCGGACCTGTGGGAGTTGCTGAATCGTCCAGGACAGGTCGAGCCAACTGAAAGAGACCTGAAGCGACTGCGCCACCCTTCAAACTGAACGCATGCCGCCCTGGGAACGCATAGAAAAGGCTAGACAGAACATCAAGCTGCATCGTACGCTGCTTCCTGGTTGGGATCTGAGAATCTGCGGCTTGCGTAAGGTTTGTGCCTTCAGGCATGGGGGGGTTGAAAGATCATGATGGAGACCCAAGATCCACGAATTTCAGTTTGTAAACATGGTAAACATCAAGCAGAAAAAAACACCAGCGTGCGAAGGGGTATGCGCAGGAGGGTTCATCTTTGCCTGCCTTTTCTTGAAACCATCGCCTGTTTCTTCGACATCATTTGAGAGTTGCTGTTGCGCAAGGGGCTTGTCCAATTCAGTTTCTGCAACATTCCCTTCCTGGAACCTTCGGGAGTTTCTGAGTATATCAACCATGCCAATGCCGATCCCATTTGGCGACGCAGTCCTCGTTCTCCCCATTGCCATAGGGGTCCTTCCGTTGCGGCCACGCCAGACTGCGAGCGAGCTGTCGGAGGATGAGTCTGTTTTCGACTCGGAGGCGGAAACCAGTGACGCCGAGGACTTTGCAGGGGTGCCGGCGGCTCGGGCAAGGACTGGGTTGATGGGACGCCGGAAGCGGGGTGGAAGGAGGGCACGGACAGGGCTGTACGCTGGCAGAAAAAGCATAGCAGCCCAGGGTCAGTCGCGGGTTGCGGCTCGTTTCGCAGTTGTCGGGTTTGCTTTGGGGAAGTCTTGGGTTGGTGTAGGCGGGTTTGCTGGCAACGCTCCAAAATCAGCCCAAACCAGAGGACTAACAATGATGCTAGACAAAGCCCACCCAGGGCCATGACTACCAACCCAAGCCCCGACTTGTCTGAACTAAATCTCCAGAATAATCCTGAACCCCCCCGAAAATAAAAACAACTTCTTCACGATTACACAATATGTTTTTGCATGGTGTGCATAACTCTCCAGCGCTCTTTCTTTCGGTCGTTGGGCGAACTCAGTCTCTTTGGGACGCTTAGGTAATGCTGACATCCTTCAACATTGCCAAGGGCATCGTGGGGGAAGGCATCCTCAGTTTGCCCAACGGTTTGGCTGCCGGAACCGGCATGATCTCGGGAGTCTTGATTATGATTGCCTTCTACACAGCGCCTCGACTACCGGCGCCTTCCGTTATAGCTAGGGAATAGGCGTAGTGCAAGCGATTCAAGCCCGGTCTCGCACCTTGCCTCAAGTATTGTTCTAGGTATACAGTGAATTTAGTTTCAGAATTTCGGATGCATCAGGTTGATGCAGCAGGATACTTAGTCTCAACAAGCCACCGAGATTGGACAGTATTCGTTCTGGATAACCCAGGCTCGCTTTTTGTTCATGTCCAAGGCAAGTGATTCCTCGCATGGTCTTTCCTCGTACTTGCCCTGGCATACGGACTGAAAACAACGTGCTGCTTTTGTAGACTTGGGGGCTTAGTCATGTCATTAGTGTTTTAGCATTGCAACGCCTGGGAGAAAAAGTCACGGCACGGAGAAGCGCCAGTCTATGAACCTGTGTGCAACAACGTCAACAAAAAACTAAACCAGCGCCAAGTGGAGCCCTTTGCTCTCACTGAGCGTCCTGTGCCAGAATGTTGTACATGTGCAACAGACACTGTGTTTCAACTTCCACTGACTACCAGTGTCAAATATCAAGCTACTTTCAATACGTCCACAAAAACTTCCCGAGAGCCCTTTGTTAGCGTCCACTCTTTCAGTTGCTCGTCCACGATGGTGCCAGGGGCACCAGACACTCTCACAATTGCAAAGGCTGGTGCAACAACTGGCGACTGTGAGGAGGAAACACAGCGATGGATTGCTAACGTTTCGCTTTGTATGATTTGCCATCTGGGTTGAAGTGACAGCCCGACTGGCCTTGTTACCCAAAGGTATAATTTGACAACTCCTTTACCTGCCTCACAGCTTGTCCAGAGACTTTGCAATTTGCACAAAAATTGTCCGAGAAACGTTTGTGTCCACACTGCCTGCGATGCAAGTTCTAAGGCTCCTGTCGGCATTTGCAAGTGTTCCGGAGCTGGGGATTGATGTGCCGGTGAGATGTGCCTTGGGCATCGTGGCCGATGCACATGCTCTGGTTGGCGGACAGTTTTCAGCTCTGTGCATGTTTCTCTCTTTTTCCCCCGGCTCCTGAGGTGATGATGTACTCCTTCTGGTCCCTGGGCAGAGCCTGCGAAGCCACGGACACCAAAAGCCACGGCGCCTGTGGCCATGCCATCACCAGCGGCTACACCTTCGGGGGCATCATGGAGGCGTGGCACAAGCCAAGCGTCGCCGAGGGGGTGGGGGGGCGGCAAAGCGTGCACATGCAGGGATTGTAGTCCTGGGCTGTTGCCTTGGGGAGAGAGCGCAGTCTGCTTGTATCCAAGCTGAACGATGCTGAACGACGATTTGTGGTAATGCCCAAGCCCAAACTGCGCATTTTCAATCGCCTGCTACAATCCCTTGTTGGCTGACTGAGAAACTGCCTGTGCTTGGACGAACAGTAGTCAATGTGCAACAATGGCCTGGTAGCCTGGCTGCCTGTGTGCTTGTTTGCCTTGCTTTTTGGCCCCCATTGATCCCGATCTTGTTGAAGCCCCAAACGGCGAGGTAAAACCAAATTGCGGAGCAGCCCCAAGGCACGGGATATCGGACATCCCGGCCAGTTCTTTTCTTGATTGCTCGATGTGCTTATGGCAGCCCTGCACCCCATTGCTGTTGGGTTTGGAAACTGGAAACAGCAGCTTGCATGGCTGCTCGATCGGTCTTGGAATCGCACGTCACACTGTCTTTCAGGTCCATGCCGGGACCATGCCGTGCAAAGTCCATCCGTGGTCTTGAACTTCCGTCAGGAAGCTTTTTCATTGACTGCACATTCTCGAAGAATGTCCGGCCCGGTGTTGCAAAAAGTGACCCTTTCTCATCGGATTGTTGAGGGAATTCGCAAGAGTTGGTTTGACTCCCGCCTGTCAGGCCACCAACTTGGTCAAGACGGCCTTCACTTGCGCCGCGGCCAAATTATGCTGAAAACAGCAGGTGGGTGTTTCCGGAGACTGGGCAGGAATGCAAACTCGACCCTTGTTACAATTTTCTATTCTTTTAGCAGTTTGTTGCGACAGCTGCCGATGCTCTCTGTGGTTTTGACTGCAAACCAGCAAAAACAACCCGCATCCCCACACCACTAGAGTGCTTCCCCACACCACTATATAAGCCAAGGATGTTGGAGACACCGTCCCATTTTGAAGTAACACAGAACCACAGGGTGATTGCAACTCCGAAACTTCAATTGCTGGGGATGTGTTTGAGCAACTGTGTGTGTGACAGGGAAACCAATTAGCTGCGCAGCTCACTCCAGCCTGGAGCCCAACGGGGCTGAAAACAAAGAGTCAAAGAGGATCCAAAAGTTCCAACCTGCGGCTGAGTTGCATTGCACAAAGTGCTTACAGACATTTGCGACCGCCTCGATGCCACTACATCACTTGACACATACCTCCCCCAAACTAGACTCGAAAGAGTCCCGTCAGTGGATTTTGAGCGAGTTTGACCCTTCCAAATGGCGCAAGTTTCTTTTCGCTTCTTTGGTTCCGTGATAACCAATCAGCCTATTAGGCGTTGTTTTGGTTGGCGGGCACTTGGGGATCCGCAGGAGCATTCGCACTCGCGGCTTTCAGGGCTGTGCAAACTCCTGACAAGTGGAGAAGTGACGCGGGGGCATGACCAAATACGGACCGCCTAGACTGACTTGTTTGAGTGGAAGCTTTGTGGGTAGATCCCAGAGCCTTTTCTCGGGTTGCGCTAGAACTCAATTGGATTGGTTCCAAGGGTCAAACCCCATCTCAGACTGAAGGACAGGGTGCGCGCAGGTCAATGTTGTGGTCAAGCAAGAAACCAACTTGTGGGGTTTGGGCAATGTGTGAAAGCAGACAGGTTTCCAGCGCTGCAACTTGACGACCATTCTCGCACATGATGTTCGGCATCTTTCAACAGATTTAATCGTGAGCTGCCATGGCTCGCGAGGCACCGCCTACGCTATCGTCATCGGGAAGAACAGTGAAGACATTTGGCACTACGTGGGCTGGGAGTCCTGGTTCGCCACCCAACGTGGCAGCTTCCTCACCATTCTGGCCGGGGGGGATTGGCTTGGGTTGGGCTTGGAAGTTTCCATGTGAAGCATGTGCTTCGGGCAAGCGGCCTTTGACATCTTTGAAAGGCAAAAGGTTCATTGGCAGCAATTACAAAGGTCGATGAGATGGGAATGAGTCACCAACTTCCCCCCCAAAACGCTTGGCGCAGATTCAAGCAGCCGCACCGAGGGGCGCTGACAGTGTCCCTTGTTCGAAGGTCTTGGGTTTCAACGTGGAGGCTTCAACTAGTGCACTGTCCCTTCTGGAAGGAGTAGGCAACTGTGACTCCTGTGGTATTTGTTTGATTGGAGCCAGAGGTCAGGCACAATCTCTCAACGTCCATTGTGTTTTTGATAGGGCTTGTATATACCACTCAGGAGGCATGGGGGTCTGAATTTCTTTGCCTTGTCTTGATTTGGCAGTTTGTAAAGTTGTGTTGTTTTGCAGGCCTAAATTGCTTCTGGAAAAGGCCCGTCAACCGAAGAGGCTTTCAGAACCAAAGATCCCTATTCAGCCTTTTCGGTTGACGCGGCTGGTTCAGGGAGCCTTTTGGGGATTGATTGGGGCAGTGCTTTTTGGCTGGTCAGGCATGCCGTAGCATTTTAGTTTGAACGGCCGCGCTCCCGGTTTCACGTTTTGCTTTTGTTCACTGCCCCGGGCCCGTTTCACTCGCTGCAGTTCCAGGCCGTTCATCCTGTCCTGCTGCTGCAGCAGGTCTTTGGTACCCTTTTGGCCATTGGCCCTTGCACAGCTAGGATTCTGAGCTTGGCCGTGGTTTGCCCGACATGAAGCACTCGTTTGATTGCCAGTCTTTCATGTTGGCTTTCTTCCATTTCGTCCCCAAAGCTTTTTATCTTCTCCTTTCGGTGCAGCTTCCAAACAGACTGTGTTTTCAGCCCCAGTTGCAGCCTACCTGGTTGGCAAACCTCAGCCCCTCATTGCAAGGTCGAATCACGAGTTGAATCAGAAGTTAAACAGAACAGTCGAGCCAGATTTCCAGGGGCAGTTTGGAGGTTTGTCTTCTTGTGTCAGTCATTCGCATTTAAACCCAAACAAGACCCAGTCGTCTTTGTGTTGCTTTTGGCACGCAGGTTGTGATCCTGATGCCGCTGTGCCTCTTGCGGGACCTTTCCAAGTTGGCCTTCTCCAGTTTCCTGGGCCTTGCCTGCGAGGCTGGCATTCTGTTCGCTTGCATTTGGCGTCTTGGGTTGGGGGTGGCACTGGGTTCACAACATCAGCTGTTTGCGTTGGCAATCCTGCATTGGCAAGCGAAGTTGGAGATCTTTTGGGGCTTCCAAGTAGCATTTTAGTTTGGAGCCAAGGTGTGCTTTCACAGGCTTTCTTCTGATTTTACATGTATACTGTCATGCACCAACTGAAGTCTTGATTCACCGTATTCCGCGCAACAGACGGCTCCTCAGATTTGACGTACTGTATGCAGGTCGGCGTGGTGCTCTTCATGATTTGGCGCCTTTTTGACGGCGCCTATTCGGAGACCGGCAAGTACTACCAGGAGCAGGCAGGGGTACCTCGCGCAGGTGCGTCCCTGCCTGCACAAGCGGCCGCCCTGCACCGGCTCTCCCTGTGGCTGGTGGGATGAACACAAATCCTGTCGAGCTAAGGGTTCCAAAGTCGCATGCCAGCACTGGCCTTCGAACAAAACACCACCGTCTCGGACGGGCAAGCTCTTAACAAATTGCTTGTTTTGTGGTTGAACGGGTGAGTCCGTGAGCGGGTTCTGCGTACATGGTTTCCAAGTTTCCAACCTTGCTCACCGCATTGGCTCATTGCACTAGTAGCTTGTGCCGCCAGTCATGCTTTCAGTAGCGAATCGAGTAAGCCAACTCATTCGCGCGCGCGCGCGCGCGCGTGTGCATGTGCATGTGCATGTGCATGTGCATGTGCATGTGCATGTGCATGTGCATGTGCATGTGCATGTGCATGTGCATGTGCATGTGCATGTGCATGTGCATGTGTGTGTGTGTGTGTGCACTGTGTCTGTGTCTGTGTCTGTGTCTGTGTCTGTGTCTGTGTCTGTGTCTGTGTCTGTGTGTCTGTGTCTGTGTCTGTGTCTGTCTGTGTCTGTGTCTGTGTCTGTGTCTGTGTCTGTGTCTGTGTCTGTGTCTGTGTCTGTGTCTGTGTCTGTGTCTGTGTCTGTGTCTGTGTCTGTGTCTGTGTCTGTGTCTGTGTCTGTGTCTGTGTCTGTGTCTGTGTCTGTGTCTGTGTCTGTGTCTGTGTCTGTGTCTGTGTCTGTGTCTGTGTCTGTGTCTGTGTCTGTGTCTGTGTCTCTGTGTGTCTGTGTGTCTGTGTGTCTGTGTGTCTGTGTGTCTGTGTGTGTGTGTGCCGAGTTCCAGATTCACCCTGGAACCACCTACAGCAGGGGGCGTGGCGGTCTCCTCGTAGCCACGCCAACGAAGCTATCGAGGATGACTGGATGCATCAAGGGACGCCTTGATGTGTACCTGCACCAGATTTGCAATGTCGTTTTGGCCCGTGGTTTCTCTTGCTGTGTGTGCTTCATGTTGGAACTGGGAACGTTTTCGACTCTAGAGGGAAGCCATCGGTCTCGCCACTCGAAAATTACCCACTCGAACTAACCCAGCCGACAAGTTGTACTCGAAGATAAGCAACCTCCCTCGGGAGTTCAAGTGTGATTACCCCGTCTCGGGGGACCCTCGGATGCTCCCATTGCGTGGCTCGGGACGGCATTGCCGTTTAATTTGACATTGGCATCGAGCACTAGACCAGCGGAATTTCACCTTTTAAACAGAAACGAGGTCTCGCTAAAGGGAAGACAGCGTAAGCCATTTCACTCACCATTGACTCCAACTGCGCTGCCTGGAGCGGATCGGCTGACGTTACTTGCGTTCTTCATTTACATGCTTGTGCCTTGGTTTTGAGTGCTTTGTGTCTCAAGCGTTGAGTTTTGGAATCCTCGTCTTGCGCTTGATCATGCCTCGCCGTCATGATCGTGAACGATCTCGTACTCGGCGCCGACGTGGGCGATCCGAATCACCACCTCGCAAAGCACGCAGACGTAATGATCGTGATGATGATCCACGCCAAGCAGATTCTCAATATTGGCTTAACTCCTTGATGTGGCAGGGTTCCAGCGGCGGTGCTTCGGTGCCACAGCCACCTTCCGTGCCCGCAGCGCAGAACTACCTGCATCATGCGCTAGCACCGTCTACTTCGGGAATGCCGAGCGCAACTTTCGTCTCTGACATCTCAGATCAGCATAATCTTGGACGGACAACGTCGCCTCGAGATGTTCAAACCATGCTTGTTCGGATTCTTCGACAACCCGCCAACCCTCCTCATTTGCCTTGTGCTCCTCCACCTGTGACGCAGAACCCGCCACCTCCTCTTCTACACGTACCACCCCTTGCAGCACCTTCAGAACTACCACCACCACCTCCACCTCCTGAACCACTACCTCCTCCTGCTTCAGTACCCACAGCCAAGGCCCACTCGTCACGCGCCAACGTTTTCGGCTCCCACGCTGGCAACGCATGTGCGCAATCCCATCGAGGCAATGAGTGTGTCACCAGATGCGTCACGCGAAAGGAATCGCAGGGGATGCTCTCGCAGGCCCGGCGGATCTACAGATCAAGATTCCCTCCTACTCCTTGCCTTGCCCCATACCATCCCGCGCCTGGGCTTCCTCTTTCGCTTGATCCATGTCATCGTGCCCCTCATGCGCTACCTGCGCACCAGCCCATGCCAACACAGACTACATTCGCAAATCCTCCCCCGCCCAGTTCTTCAGTGATTCTTCAGCTACGCAGAGCACTCAACGCCTGACTTCAGGCACACCTCCGGCGGAGTGGAATTCTGGAGACAGTCTTCTGGATCGCAACCAGCTCTACTCCATCACTCTACCAGTTTCAGTCGCCAATACTCATCACACTCGTGAACATGGAGTGGCTGAGCTCGACATTCGTGATGTACGTTTAGTTCAAGCAATACGTGGTGGCCTTTCAAACTGGTTGCTACACCCTTTGCTCACGGCCGCTTTGTGACTTGGGAAGGATTCCGTACCAGCTCAACCTTCTTACCCTCGAGAAGGACACTGCCAGCTCCCTGGGACTCAACTTGGAGGACTTCAATCAATGCATCAAGACTCGTGAGCATTTGGCCATCTGGCCAACAACATCCTCGAGCACCTTGCGCAGCAGCACCAAGCCATTTCATCGCGGCTACCTAACGCCGATGCAGTCGCGAATTGTCATTCACTCCAACGCCAAAGTGAGCTTCTCAAAGCTTAGCTGGCCGCGACACGCAAAGCTCACGATCCGCTACTACCGCGCCACCCACCGTGTCCGCAGCGAACACAACTTCCCCTTCCAGGCCTTCAGAGTCAAGTGCAATTTTACCCATGGCTAGTGCTGCTGCCGTTGATGGGAAATCTTTTGACTTGCGAAGAGCCCCATTCTCAATTCACTACATGGTCGCTCCCCTCGTCAGCCTCAGATCCGATGCTTGCAGCCACTGATTCCGCGCATCATGCGCCACCTCCGCCTTCGGATCATAGCTCGCCTCAGGAGATCCTGGAATACTACACGTGAAAAGCCCGATGCCACGCCTGTTTGTCAAGCATGCTCCCACTACGTCAACACCCACTTCAGAGCAAACATGGCTCCAACACCAAGTTCGTGGTGCTCTTCCACTTCGAACCCCGCAGAACTATGCCTGGCAACCTTCGTGCTCATGCAGTCAGGTCATTTCAGTGGGCGCACAATACGGACGTCCGGGCGGTGATCAACATTCTTGAGAACGAAGAGTTGATCCGACCTTTAAAATGGTATGATGCACCACTACCGGACGCGGATTGTGCCCGGCCATGGTGCGTTGGCGGAACTTCCATGATTCGCCAGCAGCACGTTTTGGTCTCCAGAGGCGGTGTCCTCGCCGACACCGCTGCTGCACACTTCCATGACCTCGTGCGCAGCAGGGAAGGGCGGTGGAAGCTTCGGAGCACGTTGGCTGCACCCGCGTACGTGGCCATCTTTTGGTAGCGATGTTCTCAGTGACCTCATCCAGCTCTTCTACCTCTTGAACAGTAGCGCGGCAGTGTTTTGTACAATCAGCTAGCTCTCTTTTATGACACTTCAGTTGTGACGTTGCTGAGTCTTCCGAACCGGTGTGCTTGTGAGTGTCGCTGTGTAGGTTTTGGTTGTGCGCATTCATGGTTTTGCCTGATTGGTTGTTCTTGCGTTTCGTGCCGAAGATTTACAGATCCTCCTGGACTTTGTCATCGCTAACAGCCACTTTGAAATTAGTGGATACCTTTGTTCTGCATAGGGAGCACTCCAGGTATCGCAAGTTTCTCCAACTTCAACGCGATCAACATGCCTTTTTGAACCTGCCCTTCACTACTGGCGACGTGCGCAGAACTATTGGTTTTACTGCGCCGTACCCGTTGAAACGCGGGGACCCGCGCATTCCGTTTTGACACAGGAGAGCAAGTGGCAGTATATTCTACGACCGCAACTTAGTGCTCCATGAGTACACCGTATCCTTCGCGAACTGGGGTATCGTGCGCCCGCATCTACATCGTCAACTACGACCTCTAGCTCTTGATGATGTTCAAGCACACTACAACCTGCTTTACAAATTGCTTCAGTGCACTTTTTGCACTGGTGAAGTTTTTTCCTTGCCGTCAACCAGCTGCTGCTTTCCGGGCTCATATGCTTACCAAGATACCTCTACGAATCCAGCGTCAATATGCCTGGGGACTCCGGCTGCATGCGCCATTGCCCACAGCGAGAATTCTTCCCAAGCCGCGAGGCCCATTATTTCATTTTTTCACACATGGGCTGCCCCACTTCTGACAGTTTTCGGCGCCGTCGTGTTTGAGCTTACCAAGATCACCTTTCCACACATTCCAGGTCAACTTTCGGTACAGGACATCGTTCGACAACTTTGGGACGCACTCTCCAACGCTGATCCGGAGGAGTACGTTCAACTTGTTTCGCAGGACTTATCAAGCTTTTTCACATCCATCCCGGTTGAACGTTTTTATCAAGCTCTTCAAGTTCTTCTCCATCAGTATGGCCTCGAAGTTGGTCTTCGGAGTGTGTCGCATTGGTCGGTGTTCGAGATCAAATTCGATTACAGGAGGCGCATCTGCAAAGGAAAGTGCAGAATCTCTGCCGGCTCTTGAAAATTGGGTTGTGCTTCGAGTTGGTTGCTTTGCATGTGCTTGTCTTGAACTCCGTGCTTTGATGCTCATGTTCAGCTGTTGTAGGTGCGTAGTGTTTCGCCAGGCGACACCATGGACTTTGATCATCCTGATCGTGAGCCTCCACGGTCCGTGACATTGCGCCCTTGGGTTGAGCTCAGCCGCTTCGCGGGGGAGGACTGGGTCAAGATCTTTGTTCCTGATGAACCTGTCATTCTTGGTGGAACCCAGGAACCACCACCCCTGGATGGCAGCACATATCGGACCTGGAGCAAGCACTGGATCGTTTATGATTCAACCCCTGGCGAAGACGAGGGAAGTCCAATTTATGTACGGTGGACCTTCGTTTGGAAACTTCAAGATTGGCATTGTCAAGGGTATCAACGTGTTCTTTCAAGACAGGACTCCTTTGACACCAGCGCTGGACCCTCACGCGCCTTTCCGCGTCTCGTGCGGCCCTTCCTCTACCGGCGCAATTGGCATCCTCTTGCAGCTTTGGACATGCGCCGCGCCGGAGGTTTCGTGATCATGACCGCGGGGCCCCGGCTCCTGAGGGAGGACATTCGGCCCTGGAGGGGCGTGCGGATTTACCCTGGAACCACCTACAGCAGGGGAGCACGGAGCACGTTGGCTGCACCCGCGTTCCACATCTTGAACGGTAGCGCGGCAGTGTTTGTACAATCAGCTCTCTTTCATGCCACTTTAGTTGTGACGTTGCTGAGTCTTCCGAACCGGTGTGCTTCTGAATGGGTTGTGCGCATTCATGGTTTTGCCTGATTGGTTGGTTCTTGCGTTTCGTGCCGAAGATTTACAGCTCCTCCTGGACTTTGTCATCGCTGGCGGCCACTTTGGAATTAGTGGGCACCTTTGTTCTGCGTGTGGAGCACTCCAGGTGCTGCAAGTTTCTCCAACTTCAACGCGATCAGCGTGCCCCTTTGTTGCACTGCCCTGCACCACTGGCGACGTGCGCAGAACTATTGGTTGTACTGTGCCGTACAACGCGGGGACCCGCGCGTTCCGTTTTGACACAGGAGAGCAAGTGGCAGTATATTCTACGACCACAACTTAGTGCTCCATGGGTACACCGTATCCTTCGCAAACTGGGATATCGTGCACCCGCATCTACATCGTCAACTACGACCTCTAGCTCTTGATGATGCTCAAGCACACTACAACCTGCTTTACAAATTACTTCACTGCACTTTTTGCACTGGTGAAGTTTTTTTCCTTGCCGTCAACCAGCTGCTGCTTTCCGGGCTCATATGCTTACCAAGATACCTCTACGAATCCAGCGTCAATATGCCTGGGGACTCCGGCTGCATGCGCCATTGCCCACAGCGAGAATTCTTCCCAAGCCGCGAGGCCCATTATTTCATTTTTTTCACACATGGGCTGCCCCACTTCTGACAGTTTTCCATGCCCTCGTCTTTGACCTTACCAAGATCACCTTTCCACACATTCCAGGTCAACTTTCGGTACAGGACATCGTTCGACAACTTTGGGACGCACTCTCCAACGCTGATCCGGAGGAGTACGTTCAACTTGTTTCGCAGGACTTATCAGGCTTTTTTCACATCCATCCCGGTTGAACGTTTTCATCAAGCTCTTCAAGTTCTTCTCCATCAATATGACCTCAAAGTTGGTCTTCAGAATGTGTCGCATTGGTCGGTGTTCGAGATCAAATTCGATTACAGGAGGCGCATCTTCAAACGAAAGTGCAGAATCTCTGCCGGCTCTTGACAATTAGGTTGTGCTTCGAGCTCGTTGCTTTGCATGTGCCTGTCTTGAACTCCATGCTTTGATGCTCATGTTCAGCTGTTTTAGGTGCGTAGTGTTTCACCAGGCGACACCATGGACTTTGATCATCCTGATCATGAGCCTCCACGGCCCGTTACACCGCGTGCTTGGGTTGAGCTCAGCCGCTTTGCGGGGGAGGACTGGGTCAAGATCTTTGTTCCTGATGAACCTGTCATCCTTGGTGGAACCCAGGAACCACCACCCCTGGATGGCGACACATATCGGACCTGGAGCAAGCGCTGGATCGTTTATGATTCAACCCTGGCGAAGTCCAGTTTATGTACGGTGGACCTTCGTTTGTGAAACTTCAAGATTGGCAGTGTCAAGGGTGTCAACGTGTTCTTTCAAGACAGGACTCCTTTGACACCAACCTGGACCCTCGCGCGCCTATCTCGTGCGGCCCTTCCTCTACCAGCGCAACTGGCATCCTCTCGCAGCTTTGGACGTGCGCCACACCGGAGGTTTCATGATCGTGAGCGCGCCGGCTCCTGAGGGCATCCTGGCATCTAGAGTTCGTTCCAGATCACCAGGACGCCCAGGCTATTTTGGCTCCTGAATTGCGGTCTCGCCGCTCGAAAATTACCCACTCGAACTAACCCAGCCGACAAGTTGTACTCGAAGATAAGCAACCTCCCTCGGGAGTTCAAGTGTGTGTGTGTGTGTGTGTGTGTGTGGGTGCGTGCGTGCGTGCGTGCGTGCGTGCGTGCGTGCGTGCGTGCGTGCGTGCGTGCGTGCGTGTGTGTGTGTGTGTGTGTGTGTGTGTGTGTGTGTGTGTGTGTGTGTGTGTGTGTGTGTGTGTGTGTGTGTGTGTGTGTGTGTTTGTGTTTGTGTTTGTGTTTGTGTTTGTGTTTGTTTGTGTGTGTGTGTTTGTGTCATCGTGTAAAGCGATCTGCAGCAGAGGGGTGAAGTTCAAATGTACCTTTGCAGGAGCGGGCGCAAGCAAGTACTGTATGTCAGCAGGCGTGAACACATGATGTGACAGCAGTGTGTGCGAGTATGCCGCAGTCACCTTCACCCCATACCACCCTTTGATGCGGGTGAGTGAAGCGCCAGCGAACCTGTTTATAAGCAATTTGGCAGCGGTGCGTCCAAGGATGGTGATGGCAGTGCAAGTGCGCGGGTGATACTTTTGATGCGGGGCTGCTCCCGCGGCACCTGTAAACACTGCAACCACATTAGCTGTTGAAATCCAATTTGCACCACCCCCACCCCGCACTCTCGCACGACACGCTGGTGCCAAATTATGTTTAGAGACGCAAGTCAGTTTATGTCAGTTTTGCACAAGCTAGTGTCCTTGCGCCTCTCGTTGTTCAGCGTCTGGAGTGAGTGACTTCCTTGGTCTGAGTGCAGAGCTGTAGTAAAGATCGCATTTGCGCGGTCTGAGTGAGTGCGTAACCACTTTTTGCGAGCCAAAGCACTTCAAACTTCTCCCAAGGCCTTTGTTACTTCGCACGCTTCTAGCCTCCTGTCTTCTGGCTGCTCGGTTTCAGCTGCACAGGAGCTGGAGACGCGGTTCAGCTTGGGTGAGGAGGGGCAGTGGAACTACATGGGGGTGAGCCTGCAAACCATGGTGCTGGTAGGCGCTGAAGTGGGGAGCTCCGGTGATGCGGGGGTAGTCTGGAATTTCAGCATGCGTTGCTTGTGTGAGTCTATTTGGCAGGGATGGCCAGCGCATTCGGTCTGCATACTTGTCTCCCAAACACACCAACACAAGCCACCAGCCAATTGGTTGGTCGATCGCACATCGTACAATTTGCACATCTACGAAAAGGGGAAATGGAACCCTTGCCCAGACTTTCAGGAACTGGTCATTTGATGTTTTGCTGTTCCTACGTTGTTCCTTGTTTGACATTCAAAACGAGCCCTGCACAGCGCGGGACACCCCTTTGATGTGTCCATTGGTGTTCCCGGGGCAGGCATCTCCAAAGCCAACGTTAATGCATTAAAAGGGCGCATACCTCGCCCCTACTGAGTTTGCTGAGCTTCTAATCAGATTTTCATTGTGACTCAACTGGCCAGAAGGACAAGTCTAGTGTTGTCCGTATCAAAGCCCTCGTGCTGGGTTGAACAAAACGACACCGGCTGGCTGTCAATTGCCAACCTGAAAGTTCTCCAACAAGGCCGCTTGGTTGTCGAACAAATCCAAACTACCCA